CAGCGCACGTGATTACGTCATCACATTTTGACAACATTGATTCGTCAGCAGCCAATGCATTTCGTTTCTCTGAGCCAAACGGGGAACTATTGTTGACGCTTAGTCCCACTCATTTTGTGTGTAGTTTGTGAATCATTTGCACTGTTTGTATTTTTGTTGCAGAAGACAAATTGTGCAATTGTTTTCACTAAATAGCTGCATGGTTTGTGTTTGTTGTTGTTGTTCATACTCAGATTGAAAATATATTTCTCTGAAAAAAGTCACCTTTTTACTGTGTTTTGTTATTATATAACACTGATTCAATTTTCTTTACTCCCTAAATGTTTTTTAGACATCTATATTGTTAGTAAACTAAATAGACCTGTTTTTCACTGAAAAGCGCCTATAACAATATTGTAATAAATTGCTATAACTTGCTTGGGGAATGTTATATGTAGACAATTTTATTTGGAATTGTAAAACACCCAGATACAACTTTCTAAAGAAAAAAAATCCAAACTTCAGGAGTTTCTGTTTGAATACACCGTAAAAAACACCCAATTGTTGCTTGCGTTTTTCTTAAAATTCTGAAAATTCATTCATTCTTAGAGAAAACAAAAGGAAAACTGGGACTTTAAATTAGCTAGACTGAAACTTCAAGTTCTCCTGTTTATAATGATATATGACACTTGATGCTGACTGCTAGAATAGGTCTTAAAAAGGTCTTGTTTTTTTGTAAAGTATTTCTGACATTCTCCTTCAAAAACTAACATAGGATTTTGAAGTTTCGTTAACGGTTTACTTTTCATTTCAGTCTTTCTGGCAGTTATGCTTACTTGTGTTGTGTCAACTATTATCTATTTTTACATGTTCTTGATGCGTTTGATAGCACCCATGTTTTTCTCCAGGACCTACGTATTCTATTCCACTTCTTCTATGCCAAATCCATGTTTTTCTTATTTGAGTAATGTTAAAGCTGCAGTCCGTAAGTTTTGCCTCTGTCGCCATCTCTGTTTGAAAACCTGGAATTGCAGCTGAGTGCGGAATTATCTAGCTTGCGTGGGTTGTGAGTCTGCACGGCTCCAGCGCGGATGAATCTAATGTTCTGAAGAGTATGTGTGGCAGTCGGTCACCGCACCGGTGTAGATATTTACTGTACTTCGCAATCACAGATTCTAGCCTACGTCTTGGAATATGACCCAAATAAGAATTTTCACCTTATATTGCCATCTGAACAAGTAACAAGTTTGTTCTGACCAACTGAGGAAAAAAGCATTACCGTCAATCTCGCTACCAATGGTGATTAAATCTAAAGATCGGTTAGCTCATATCACATCAAACCATTCAAATTATTATTATTCTTATACTTAATTCTCAAATGATTAATGTTAACAACATCAGCATTGGTGACTATGTATAACTGGAATATAATTTCATTTCATTCACATGTTTCATAAACACACAATCCTTTATGGATTACAATCCGCCATCAAAATGATACATTTAATTATTCTGGCTGCTGTGAGAAAAGAGAAAAGGCTATAAACGATCCGCCACCTACAGGATCCTCACATGCAATAGCCTAGTAGCCGGGACAACTTCTTTGTTTACAGACGT